CATCGATAACTTTTGTTCCGTTACGTATATTTGAATGTTTGTTTTTTTACAATTTTTTACGTATGAAATCTTGGAATGTGTACAAATAAGTTTGACGGTTGGATCGTTGAAAAAAGCTTGTCATTACGAGTGTTTATATATTTTTTCTATATTTTTTTACACTTCTACATTAATTAAAAAACTATTAAAGACTTTAGGTAAGCGAAAATATACTTAAAACAAAATTTCGTTTTTATGTTTTGGATGTGATAATATGGAATGTATATACTTATTTAGTATTATGTTTTTCATTTGATTATTTATTGGTTTAAAATATATTTTCCTTAACGGGTAACGGGTCGGGTCATATTACCTGTTAATATTATCGGGTAGATTTCGGGTCGGGTCATTTTACCCGTTTATTTTAACGGGTGTTACACGACACGACCCGTTAAGATATCGGGTATGACACGAAAACGACACGAACACGGAAAACACGACACGAATGCCAGGTCTAATTGTCACGTAGTCCTTTATCTATTAATTGATAAACATGTAATTTACATGTAGACTCGAGCCAAATAAAATGAGTGTATCCTACTATCCGTCCGGTCAAGTGACCCTATGCACGGTGCGCTTCGTCAAGGCATCCATCCATTAAAAAAGACAACATTATTTTCCAGGACGTAAATGAAGCGTCTCTTTAAAAAACATAATTTTCCAGGACGTAAATGAAGCGTCTCTTTAAAAAAACATAATATTTAGGTACTCTCATTAGTGAGTACTTTATATACTTTTTTCTTCTTTTTTTTGGCCTAATGATATTTTAACACATGTTTTATATTTTAAAAAGTAATAGACATGTTAATTAATTTTTTTTTTTGTACTTTAAAAAAATAAGAAACAAGTAATATCTTTTGATTAGACCAAATCAAAAAGTATAGGATACTCATGACTAGTAAGTACCTAAGTATTATCTAAAAAAAATAACGTCTAATTAATTGCTATATCACCACACAGTAGTTCATAAATAATTATGCAATTAACTACACAAATATAATGCATATAAACCCTCAATAGACAATGCCAAATGCCAATCGTAATGGGTTAGAAAAATCTGAAATTGATAAAGGTAAATGTTCAATATTCTGTCCTAAAGACAAGTTTTGAAACAAATGTTCTAATAATGTCAAAGTAACACTATAGAATCTAAGCTTCGTAAATACTCTTAATCAAATGATATATATTGAAAAGGCATCATTAGCACTAAACTATCACAAAACACTTTCCTAATCTTAATTAGTTCGCTATTATGAGATAATTTTTTCTAGATTTCCGGTACACCAGTTGTAAATGTTGAGCTGGTGTTTTTCTCCAAGCCTCGGATGTTAGAGGACGACAACAGAACTCTCTTTATCAAGAGTGTGGAGAAAAATACTACATCATTGTATAGCTATAGAGGTGCGTCTCTTACAATACAGTCTTTTTCATTTTCCCGAAAATTGTAGATATAAGAATTAATCATATATACGTTGGACTGGCAAATACATTTTCCATCACCTTTATAAGACTCCTTAGAGCAATTCCACCCATGGAGCCCTCCCCCTAGCAATCTACTATTCAATCCACTCTATTGAACAGTAACTGCCTTAAATGAATAGTAACTACCATTAATGAACAGTAATTGTCATTTACATCTCCACCCTTGGAACCCTCCCCCTGGCAATAAGCAATTAAAATAGTAGTTTTTTTTGTTTGTTTAAATAATAAAAAATTGCAAAACTCCGGTCCCCTCTCTCTCTCTCTCTCTCTCTCTCTCTCTCTCTCTCTGACACAAAAAAAATAAAAAATTGCAAAGCCCTAGGGCCACAGGCCCGTCGACTCCCCACCCCCCCTTCGCTCGGGCTCCCACCGTCGCTCGACCTCCACACGGCTGGACCTCTCTCCATCGGGCCTCCGGCCCCTTCTTCTCCACTGTCCCCCGAGCAACCCACATGGGTTGAGTTGCTCTTAAAGAGTATGTGACATATCATCTATACATTAGGGTCCCATAATATACAATAATATTCCCTGCAGCACATGGCTAGGACATGGAGAAAAGTCTAGCAATAAGAACAATTCAATTATAATATATATATATATATATATATATATTAATCATTACAAGGAGGAAAAAATTACAGTTGAATATATATTTTAAAAATTAGTCCTATAGTAGTTCTGCAAAGTGATAATAGCCCCTTAACATATCCAGTCCCACAAGAGTACTGTAACTTCAATAAAATGGGCATAAGGACCACAATCATCAAATTCATGGGCAAAAGCAAAGTTATGACAGCAGAACTGGACAAAATTATACTGTGTGGTGGAGCTACTGGATTGCTGACTAGTGGGACAACAACCCCATGGAAATATTGAGCAAGAGATATTGTTGTCCTAAGAAAGGAGAGGACTGATTGATTGCCTCCAAACAGGGTCATTGGGTGTGACAGGGGACAGGTAGGAGTAGGACTCTGGAAGTTGACACACAAACAATGGTTATGTAGGGTATTATAAATTGGGGGATTTGAGGACTCTTTTTTTTTGCTTCATGGGTAGTACAGTAGAACTGGAAAATAATATTATGGGGGAGTTCAAGCACTTGGTGATTGTTAAGTTCAAGGAAATGTGTTGATGGAGGAGATTCTGAAAGATATGGAGAAAATGGTTGCTGAGATTGATGCTATTAAGTCCTTTGAATGGTAAGCTCTTATAATTAAAGCATAATAGCTAGCTGTAAATGTTCATATGATAAATATGTAACATGAGCTAGAGCAATGTTCTAACTTTTACTTGTCAACTATTTGAGATTTGATATGTTATATTATCAGACTATCACTAGAGTGAACATTTCTACACATAATACAGTGAATTAGAAAACGGTTTTTACCTTCGCAGGCACCCCATTTGAAATTAAAACAATAATTATGTGATTCTTCATACTATAGTATGAGATCATTAAAAGTCACTAGAAAATTGTACAATGTTAATTACTTATCACGAACATGTATATTTGATCATCGCCTGCGTGCTTGACTCTTTAATTTTCAGGGGACAGGACTTGGAAAGCCTAGAGATGCTTAGGCAAGGGTTTACCCATGCCTTCTTGATGACATTTAAAAATAAAGAAGGTTACAGTGCGTTTCTCGGCCACCCTAAACATCAAGAATTTTCGGCTACATTTTCAACAGCTATAGAAAAGATTGTGCTGCTTGATTTCCCGGCTACCCTTGTCAAGCCACCACCCAAGGCACCAGCAGAGGAACCATCAGCTGCCCAGAATGATCAGAAGTAGCTTAAAATTGCAAAACTATGTACCCAAGAATATGGATTATGATGAAGTACGCTGCTTCTGCTTGTGTGTGGAGTTTTTAGTATTTTCTTCAAAAACTATGGGTACTGTTTAATTGTGGCGATAAATCAATGATTTTTAGTGTAATTTCAACTTGTGTGAAAATATATTATGCACATTTTGCCTTTCTTGAGGATTCATGATTGGACATGTAGCTTAGCTTGTGGGATTTGGCTACTGTGATAGTAAAATTTTGCGGTCTTCAGATTTAACATTACACAAAAAGCCATGTTTTGGGTGTGAGAGCAACTCCACTCGTAAAAAAATGTATTAGCACCCAACCTATTTAATTCATTCAGTGAACAGTGATATACCACAATAAACAGTAATAGGTCAAATGCATCTCCACCCCTACAAACTGCTATGGCACCCAGCTCATTTAAAATATTATTTAATTTTTTATAAAATAATAGATAAAAAAAATTGTTTTAATTTCGGATAGGATTTTTAACTAATCTCATCACGCCACGTGTCATTATCATAATAAAATTACATAAACTCATCAAATAAGCTTAAAACACACACTAAATAAAATTACATAAACTCATCAAATAAACTTAAAAAAAAAAGCACACTAAATAAACTAAGAACTTTATTGTTCCACCACAAGATCCTTTTTAATTATCTTGACCTTGTTGCAATCCCCATTGGTGCTCAATCAAGTCACTTTGATGGGTACAGTGCCAGTATGGCTCTTGCAATGAAGACATTGTAAGAACTCAAGATTTAAAAACAATGAAGATGGATGTAGGGATGTAGGTTTATATGGACAAAAAAAGAAAGGATGAGGTTCTTCGTATTTTTTTTCACACAAAAAGTATATGGTAGAAAGTGTTGAAAATATTGAAATACGGTGTAAGGTGGAAAATGAGGGTTTGGTATTTATAGGGAAAAAAATTAAAAATTTTCTGTATTTTTTAACAATTTTTAATTAATTTTTTATAAATCTTAATTTAGGTAATTAATCTGGAGCGTTGGATTTGAAAAATATTCAAATCCAATAGCCTATAAGTTGACACGTGGCCAACAGTCATAATTCTGACCGTTGTGCCCTTTTTAAAAAAAAAAATTGGAGAAAAAATGTGGACCGCTGATCTGTGATTGGACGGTCTAGATCAAACGGCCTCTGACGCCACACTGATGTCAGATGGGCCGGTTAACAAGTTCGTCGATTCTGGGCCAGCCTGTGGCTTGGCTTAGGCTAAGGTGGAGCAGAAATGAGGGAGGCTGGTCCATTTTTTGGACTAGGTGCCAGGCTATCAAGCCCTGGTGAAACTGCTCTGATAACCTTAACCAAATGTGTTTAATTTCTCTCAAACAAATGTATGATCAATTTAAGTAAAAAGCCATGTTTTAACTATACACAAAACAGCGACGAAACATACTGCTCTGATGATCCATCAAAAAACATACCATCGCCAACAGTAGTGGGTGAAAAAGGAGGAAATCAGGCAGCAGAATCTAAAGGGTGGAGAAAAGTCACATTCCATTGGGCCGCTGAAAAAGTGGGATTGCCATTGCAAAAGTAATACACATCCCTGTCAAGATGCCAAAAGTCCAAAAGGAATTTTGAAATCACAAAGTATTATTATTCAACAGATTAAAAAGTAGATTCCTTGTCATCTTGATCTTCTTTACTTCCTTATAGTTGTGTGGAAAAGCAAAATAACCTAATAATGCAGTTCATTCGAAAATGCAAACATTCAAGAAATTCAAGAAAATCTGCCTCCTGCATCCTTTCCTTCTATTACTCAATTTTTGGTTAACAACTTCAATTCCTCAAAATGCTTCAACAATCTTTTGTCACAAACTGAAAACTCAAACGCGATTTTCGAAACCAAATTCAACCGCGTTTTCTCCGCTAAACCACATTTTCCTGTGCAAATCTCGAAAACTATACCATTGTAATAGAGCCTCTATTAATCTGTTCCCAATTTCCTATACTAACTACCGATGTAAAAGTTAGATCATCTCCAACCCTTCTTGTTCATCTTCACTCCACTATGTCCCTTCTAAACTTCCATAGCCTAGTTTTAGTTCCCGACAGTCCAACTCACTTTTACTCTACGATTGCTCAAACAAAAACCTTGATCCTTCACCATATTTTCATAATGTCACCTGCCTGCATGCATGTGGAGCTTCTTCATAGATTCAAGAACCCGAACTTTACGGGCATACATGGTCCTCTTGCTTACTAGTTTATGATCTCACAAAGCTAGACTTGGGTTTTCATCCAAGAGATCTGAATTGCTCATGTTACAGCAGGGTGTATGAAAAACCTTCACATGGAAACAAGGAAGGATATGGGTTGAAGACGAGGATGTCTTTCGACATCCCTGACCACGTACCCAATATTTGCGACGAGCGTGAAAAGCCTAATGGAAATTGTGGTGCTGGGTTGATGTGCATATGCCACCCAAAAAAGTGCAGTAAGTGCCTAGTTTCATAAAGTGTGAAGCGAGACATATATTAATTAGATTTATCAACTATTTAAAAACTAGTATAATTAACGTGGTGTTTCTAATGATTTAATTTGCAGAAAACAAAATCATTTCAAAGGGTTCTTTCACCAGTTCTGGTAATATCCTCTTCTCTTTGCTGACTCTTGTAGTACAGATGGTTTTGGATCACTGAAGCAAGAAAGTTAAGTCCCTAATGTATTGGTTTTTATGTCATTTACTTCATAGCTGTAAAAAATAAATCAAAAAGAAAATTTTAATAGTTGTTCCCATTTCTCTTTCATCTGTCTGTCGTGTAAAGATTTGTAGGCTCCATTCGGGTGGAGAAATTTGAATTAAAGGATTTGGATGTGAAACTTTTGCCACATAAACAAGAAATCATTAAATAGATTGTATTTGTAACAACTAGATGTAAGATGTAATCTTCACTAGGCAAACCACCTAGTCGGATTTTAGGGATTTCCAGTAAGAAATTGTCACGTTATCTCAAGTGGGACTGGATTAACAAAAAAATCAGAAGGGATTTGTGTGTTTGTAATGAGTCATTTGGACTTCATTTACGTTTTTCATGTCTTTCTTATTCAAATCTTGTGATGCATGGATTGCTATATTTCAAACGAACAATTTAACTTTATAATCTCTTCTAAGTTTCTAAATTTGAAATCCCTCAATCCAAATGAGCCCTTGTATTGTTTTTTTTCTTGTGACCGCATTGACAAGCACCAAGTTGTTAAGGAAATACATGATATATTTGTACACTTAGAGGGGGCTTTTCAATTCCCACTTCCACTAGCTACTGCTTTTCTAAAGGAACTATAAGTTGAGGTACAACTACATTCTTCATGATTTACTGTAAGGTACAATCTGCTTTAACATGAACCTAATCAACCCACAATTACTGCAGCAGTACTGCAACCAGCATAACCCTAATACTTGAATTTGTTTTCTGGCCAACCCTTTGTTGTTAAGAGGAAAATGACAGGCAATGACAGAAAAGAATAATTATAGGCTTATTTTATTAACAGTTTACAAACTGTTGAATAAATCCTACATACTTAATACATTCCACATTTGCTTTTGAGGTGCATATGTGCAATATGTGCCTAGTTTCATAAAGTGTGAAGTGAGACATATATTAAATAGATTTATCAACTATTTAAAAACTAGTATAATTAATGTGGTGTTTCTAATGATTTAATTTGCAGAAAACAAAGTCATTTCAAGGGGTGAATCTTTGACCAGTTCTGGTAATATCCTCTTCTCTTTGCTTACTCTTGGAGTACAGATTGTTTTGGATCACTGAAGCAAGAAAGTTAAGTCCCTAATGTATTGGTTTTTTTGTCATTCACTTCATAACTATAAAAAATAAATCAAAAGCAAATTTTGTGTTATAAATAGGCAAAAGTTAGAGAGGTAATCTTTGCTAGGACATGAGTGAAGCAGGTGTAAAATATCAAACTATTTAGTTTGGTAACTATAACAAAAAAGGATTGCAGGTAAAAAGAGGAAGTGAGGGATACTGATATTATTGCTTTCAATTTTTTTCTTTTGCAGTGTGTATTGTAATCACACACGGAGTGCTCTTATATAGAGTAACATCTGTGACAATGACAAACCAAACAAATGAAATGATTGCCACTTTTGAAAACATTACACAACAACAAATAAATCACTATTTTCAAGTCTTCCTCATTGTGGGCATTCATTCGCACAATTTTATAACACTCCAAATTGGATGCTCACATATCAACATCAATTGCCTCATTAAAACTTGCTCGGAAAAACCCAATGGGAAAAAACCATAGCGTGTTGTAAAATTGTGATAATGAATGCCCACAGTGAGGAAGACTTGAAAATAGTAATGTACTTGTTGTTGTGTAATGTTTTCAAAAGTGGCAATCATTTCATTTATTTGGTTTGTCACGGTTGTTGCTCTATATAAAGAGCACTCCGTCTGTGATCACAATACACTGCAAAAGAAAATAACTGAAAACAATAATATCAGTATCCCTCACTTCCTCTTTTTACCAGCAATCCTTCTTGTGTTATAGTTACGAAACTAAACAATGTGATATTTTGCATTCACTTCGCTCTTGTCCCTAGCAAAGGTTGTCTCTCTAACTTTTGTCTAGTTATAACACATTATCAGCACGACTTTCTAACCTTAACCAGTTATCATCTCCCTTCACCGAAAAAATGCTTCCTCCAAGGATTTCTTGTTTTTCTTCATCCTTTGCCTCACCTGCTTGATGTACCCTCGTGAAGAACTACTAGCTCCATGTCTGCATATAGTTCTAAATATAACAATTACTTATATCTTTGATTTCTTGTTTGGTGTAGCTCCTGATTACTAACCAAGTGATTATTTATGTTAATTTTACTACGATCGAAGATGGTGTGGTACCATCGCCCATCTTGAACTGCAGATTTAATTTTACTGCAATTTTAGGTGGTGCGGTATAATCGTCCACCCTGCTTTACCTATTTAAATTTTCTTGCTGCTTGAGTGGTGTGGTATAATCGCCTATACTATGCTATATTATTTGAATGAGAGTGGTGCAGTACAATCGCCCTTCTCATTAATCATGTAAATCTCAAGTTTGAAATTTTGAGTGCTTATCATTTTGGCCTGAAAATCAAAATGAAAAATTTGTAAGAACTAGAAGTTCTAACACTAAATTCCTCCATAATACATATTATTGCAAGTTCTTATATATCTCATTTTTCTTTCAGAAAAATAAAATGGTGAACATGGCAAAACTTGATTTTGTTGCCCTGGATATTACTCGGAAGAACTATGCCCTGGATATTACTGGGAAGAACTATCTTACCTGGGTAGTGGCTACCAAGATCCATCTGGAGGCAGGGAATCTTTGAGAAACCATCAAGGAGGAAAACAGTGCATCCTCTCACGTTCGGGCGAATGCCATGATCTTTATCCATCGCCACTTGAAGGACTGAAGAGCGAGTACCTAACAATTGAATATCCATTAGCCCTCTAGAAGGCATTGAGAAATAGATACAATTACTAGAAAATGGTGAATTTTCTAAGGGATTGTTATGAGTGGACACACCTAAGGATCCAGATTTCAAGTCTGTTGCAGAGTACAACTCTGCAATGTTCAGAATTAGCTTCCAAATGAAGCTTTCTGGGGAAACCATCACTAAGGAAGATATGTTGGAAAATACTTTTAGCATCTTTCATGCCTCCAACATGCTCATGCAACAACAATATAGAAAGTGAGGTTTTATTGAGTACAACCAACTAATATCGGTGCTCCTTGTGGCTGAACAAAACAATGAGCTTCAGATGAAAAATCATCAATCCCTATCTATTGGATCGGCACCATTCCAAGACGTGAATGTTGCTTCCCTCGAAGTGAACACCACATCATCTTGTAGTAATAATTGCAAACAAGGATGTGGCCACAAAAGAGGCCAGTGGAACGGGAAAGGTAAGAATCATGGTGTCCAGTTTTCCAACTAAGTTCCCAAAGCATGATTTAGGCCCGAGCTTCAAAAATATAAATCGCCACAAAGGTAAAGCCCATATGAATAACACTCATAGAAACCTTGAAGAAGCTTACCATAGGTGTGGGGCCAACGGGCACTGGGCACGTACCTGTCGTACCCCAAAACATCTAGTGGACCTGTATCAAGCCTTCTTCAAGGAGAAGGGTGTTGAAACCAATTTCTTCGACCAGGCTAAATTGATGGATATATCTGATCTAGTGTTCATTTATCAGGGCAATTGAACACAACTCACCTAGATGTCTCAAACTTCATTGTGAAAAGAGGGAATGAAGTGTATCGGTCCGATTGAATCATTTTTTGTTTAATGTACTCTTATTATTTGTGAATACCCATTTGTAAACCAAGAGGTTTACACCATTAGAGTTTAGACTACCGGTCCAAAAACACTTTGCAAATAATAAGAGTACATTAAACATAAATGATTCAATAAGACCGATACACTTCTTACCATCTTTTCACAATGAAGTCTAAGACATCTAGGTGAGTTGTGTTCAATTTCCCTGATAAATCGAACACTAGATCAGGTATATCCATTAGTTTAGCCTGGTCGAAAAAATTGGTTTCGGCACCCTTCTCCTTAAATAAGGCTTGATATAGGTCCACCAGATGTTTTGGGGTACGACAGGTACGCGCCCAATGCCCGTTGTCACCACACCTATAGCAGACTCCTTCAGGGTTTTTGGAGTGTTGTTCATATGGTCTTTACCTTTGTGGCTATTTACATTTTTTAAGCTCAGGCCTGAATTATGCCTTGGAACCTGGTTGTAAAATTGGACACCATGATTCTTGCCCTTCCTATTCCACCGGCCTCGCTTGTGGCCACGTCCTCGTTTGTAATTACTAACATGAGAGGATGTGGTGTTCACTTCGAGGGAAGCAACATTCATTTCTTGGAATGGTGCCGATCCAATAATTCGGGACTGATGATTTTTTATCAGAAGCTCATTGTTTTGTTCAACCACAATGAGCACCGATATCAGCTAGTTGTATTTAATAAAGCCCCACTCTCTATATTGTTGCAGGAGGAGCACATTGGAGGCATGAAAGGTGCTGAAAGTCTTTTCCAGCATATTTTCCTCAGTGATGGCCTCCCCACAAAGCTTCATCTGGGAGCTAATTTTGAACATTGCAGAGTTGTACTCTGCAAGCGACTTGAAATCCTAGATCCTTAGGTGTGTCCACTCATAACGAGCCATTAGAAGAATCACCATTTTTTGGTGATTGTATCTATTTTTCAATGTCTTTCAGATGGCTAATGGATCTTCAACTGTTAGATACTCGCTCTTTAGTCCTTCATCAAGTAGGCGACATATAAAGATCATGGCTTTCGCCCGATCTTGAGATGATGCACTGTTTTCCTCCTTGATGGTTTCTCCAAGATGGATCTTGGTATCCACTACCCAGGTAAGGTAGTTCTTCCCAGTAATATCCAGGGCAACAAAATCAAGCTTTGCTAAGTTCGCCATTTTCTTTTCTGAAATAAAAATGAGATGTGTAAGAACTTGCAATAATATGTATTCTGGTGGAATATAGTGTTAGAATTTTTGGTTGTTACAAATTTTTCATTTTGATCTTCAGGCCAAAATGATAAGCACTTGAAACTTTAGGCTCGAGATTTACATGATTACTGAGAAGGGCAATTGTACCACACCACTCTCATTTAAACAATATAGCATAGTATGGGCGATTATATCGCACCACTTAAGCAGTAGGAAAATTTAAATATGCAGAACAGGGTGGTCAATTATACCGCACCACTTACAATTGCAGTAAAATTAAATCTACAATTCAAGATGGGCGATAATACCACACCATCTTCGATCGCAGTAAAATTAACATAAATAAACATTGGGTTAGTAATCAGGAGCTACACCAAACAAGAAATCAAAGATATAAGTAATTATTATATTGAGAACTAAAACAAGCATGGTGCTAGCAGTTCTTTGCCAGCGTACATCAAGAAGGTGAGGCAGAGGAGGAAGAAGAACAAGAAAATCCTTGGATGAAGCATTTTTCAATGAAGGGAGATGAGAACTGGTTAGTGTTAGAGAGTCGTGCTGATAATGTGTTATAAATAGACAAAAGTTAGAGAGATAACCTTTGCTAGGGATATGAGCAAAGCAAATGCAAAATATCACACTGTTTAGTTTCGTAACTATAACACAAAAGGATTGCAGGTAAAAAGAGGAAGTAGGGGATACTGATATTATTGCTTTCAGTTCTTTTCTTTTGCAGTGTGTATTGTGATCACACACGGAGTGCTCTTTATATAGAGCAACACCCATGACAAACCAAACAAATGAAATGATTGCCACTTTTGAAAACATTACACAACAACAAATACATCACCTTTTGCAGTGTGTATTGTGATCACACACGGAGTGCTCTTTATATAGAGCAACACCCATGACAAACCAAACAAATGAAATGATTGCCACTTTTGAAAACATTACACAACAACAAATACATCACTTTTTTCAAGTCTTCCGCACTATGGGCATTCATTCTTACAATTTTACAACATTTTGTTAGTCGTTCCCATTTCTCTTTCATCTGTCTGTCCTGTAAAGATTTGTATGCTCCATTCGGATGGAGAAATTTGAATTAAAGGATTTGGATGTGAAACTCTTGCCCCATAAACAAGAAATCATTAAATAGATTGTATTTGAAACAACTAGATGTAAGAGGGAATCTTCACTAGGCAAACCACCTGGTCGGATTTTGTAGGGATGTCACGTTATCTCAAGTGGGACTCGATTAACAAAAAATCAGAAGGGATTTGTGTGTTTGTAATGAGTCATTTGGACTCCATTTACTTTTTTCGTGTCTTTCTTCTTCAAATCTTGGGATACATGGATTGCTATATTTCAAACCTACAATTTAACCTTTTAATCTCTTCTAAGTTTCTAAATTTGAAATCCCTCAATCCAAATAAGCCCTTATATATTTTCTTCTTGTGACCTTATTGACAAGCACCAAGTTGTTAAGGAAATACGTGATATATTTGTACACTTAGAGGAGACTTTTCAATTCCCAGGCAATGACAGAAAAGAATAATTATACTCAAAATCCAGAAAGTGAAAAATATGACCGTAGTAAAAAAAAACTTAAAAAGGCAATAATCAAGCTGTGACGATACATGCCACCGAATTTTAATCAGTTGCATTCCAAAGAACAAAAAAGAAACTCTCATCTCTTGCTTAATTACCTAACTAACAGCGATATATTAGGAAATATGAATTGACCTGCAAAATCTTCAATATTTGTAATCCTTCACGTGAAGGCTCTCCGAAGCACCATCTCCCAAAGCAGCATCCCCTTTGTAGGTACCCAAAGTTGCATCTGAATTAGCTTTGCACCTAGCAAGGAAGGCAGCCCGTGCCTTCTCCACATTTTCATCCTTTCCAGCCCACGCCTTTAGGGTACTCTGCTGCAGAGCCCGCCCGAAAGAGAACGAAAGTGACCAGGGTTTCTTGGTATTGAGCTTGTTCATAGCATTCAAATTGAGGGTAGCTTCCTCCTCACTCTGCCCACCAGAAAGAAATACTACAGCAGGAACAGCTGGAGGCATTGTTCGCTGCAACGCCCTTAATGTATGATAAGACACCACCTCAGGTGAAACCTTTTTGGCATCTGAACCAGGGGTAACCATGTTTGGCTTCAAAAGAGTCCCCTCGAGAAGGACATGGTGATCGTTCAGCGCTTTATAGCACGCTGCAAGGACACGCTCAGTCACATCTGCGCATCGCTCAATGTCATGAGATCCATCAACCAGTATCTCTGGCTCAACAATTGGTACCAAGCCATTCTCCTGGCAAATGACAGCGTAGCGCGCCAAGCCATTGGCATTCTCATGTATAGCAAGCTGAGTTGGCTCGTTCGGGCCAATCTTGAGTACAGCACGCCACTTTGCAAATCGGGCACCAGCTTCATAGTACTGCTGGCAGCGCTGGGCAAGACCGTCAAGGCCCTGAGTTGTGGTCTCACCATTAGTTCCAGCAAGCTCAACAGTGCCCTTGTCAACTTTAATTCCAGGAAGGACGCCACCGTCTTTGAGGATATCAACAAAGGGTTTCCCACCGGCTGTTTTCTGGTAAAGGGTTTCCTCAAAAAGGATCACACCGCTGAGATACTGGAGTGCACCCGGGGCACAGAAGAGGAGCTCACGGAGAGCTCGCCTGTTGTTTTCAGTATTCTCAACATTTATGCTTGACAAACGCTTGCCAATCGTGCCCGTTGACTCATCTGCAGCAAGGATTCCCTTCCCAGGGGTACCAATGTAGGTAGCATTGGCTACAAGTTCATCTGTAATACATGATAGATGTCATTTTTGGTCTCCCTAAATGAATTACTTGGGGGATTGGGGGATGGAAACTGCAACAACATCAACTATTAGATCAAAGTAAAAAAAAATCAGACTAAACATAGTATGCTTTCTTGTATTCTAGAGTTACATCGATCCCAAAAATATTTGGAAAAATTGTGATACGGGCCAGACCATATGGACCCGTACCAAAGTGGCACAAGCCTAAGATAGGCAGGACAGGAGTACTAGTGAGTCTGTAAATGGTTCAAACCTGGGACAGTGCCAAGAAATGTCGATTACGCCAAGTAGGAATGAGTTGTGGCATGACATGGTAGTGTTTACATCTCAACTATCGCT